CCCTCTGTAGAGAACTAACCCTCTGTGGAGAGCTAACCCTCTGTAGGGAACTAACCCTCTGTGGAGAGCTAACCCTCTGTGAGAGCTAACCCTCTGTGGAGAGCTAACCCTCTGTGAGAGCTTTAAATCACAGCTAAAAACACATTTCTTTGCTTTGGCTTTTTAACACAAGCAATATTGAAACATTTATGATAGTGTCCTGCACTATACGGCTGAGTGGTTAGCACTCTCGCTTCTCAGCAAGCAGGTTCTGGGTTCGAATCCCGGTTGGAACAGGGCCTTTCTGAGTGCAGTTTGCATGTTCTCCCATGTCTGCGTAGGTTTTCTCCGGGTGCTCCGGTTTCCCCTACCACTAAAACATGTGCAATAGTTCAGGGTGAATGAGTGTGAGTGTGGGACAACAGATGGAAATGATCCCAACGCTACAATCCACAGAGATGTGTTCATGAACATGTCCAAACCAAATAAACATCCATCCATCTTCTTCCCCTTAATCCATTTCTGGGTCGGGGGTGGCAGTCAGAGCTGCACCCAGTTCACAGAGCACCAGCCCCTCACTGATCCTCCTGCAGGTGCTGAGTCCACAGGAGCCAAATAAACAACAATTAAAATAAAAAAATATTGTTTCCCTAAATTGTGATTAAAAAGTCAGGATATGGGGAATCCCAAAATAATATTTATTTTTACTCACCAAAGTCCCCTTTCCCCTCGGGTGCATGTTCAGTGCAGCCTGTTTTGATCAGATTTACATGTGTCTTGTGCAGCAGAATCCACACACAGTGCTGTCCAAGCTGGTATCATTAGCCACGTTAGCAGTGTTAGCTCCAAACGAACCAGCCAATCAGAGCTCTGCTAGCTGCTAGCATATTCTTCACGATTTGCGGCGGCTCAAAATGGCGGACAGCTCATTAAATATGCCAACATTTCAAAAAATCATTGTAGCTAAACTAGAGTGGTCCAAAAAAATTCCCTCCCCTCAGCATTGACACGTCTGGAATGTAGCTCTGAGCCAAGAGCCGACTTTTGGTCCATCCTGTAAAGACGTTTTTGAGAGGTCAGCTAATGCTATATGTTAGCATTGAAGAATTCTCATTCTGGGTCCACCCCCACAGGCCCGGGGTGGTATTGCAGCATGTCAGCACACGTCATTTTGGCCACTTCTGAGCCGGGACGCGCCCACACCGGCTTGGCCTTAAAGCACATTTACAAATGAAACTCTCCAATAAGAAATGTATTTTATATTCTGTATTTATACTCTCAATTCTGCTCTTGGATTGATACACAAGGTCCCTACTTTTGACGTGGCACACTGACAATGTAAAAAGAACCAAACCACAGATTATCCATCAGTGACTTTCCACACTCTCCATAAACATTAATAGCCCATAAAGCTTTGCAATCACGTTATTTCCTGCTGAGAGAGTTAAAAATCCTTTGTACAGTCATTTCCATCCCATCAAACACAAGTCCTGCTTACACAGCCCTTCTCCACCGAGGCATGTGATCCATAAGGATTTTGTACTCTCATCACTAAAGCACTCTGCTGCAGATTTAGAAAGGACAAAGTTGTCACAAGGAGGATTCTTGAGGCACACTTTTGTAAGCATCCTCCAGATCTGCATCAGGTCTACATCTGCATCCGGTCTACATCTGCAGGCCACTACCCAGGATCTTCAGGTCTACATCTGCAGGCCACTACCCAGGATCTTCAGGTCTACTATTTTGTATTTATTAAAAATGTTTGTGAGGCAAAAAGACAAGAAATAACAGACTTTTGGTCTCGCAGCTTGACATCTGGAAACATATTTAAATATTTGTTCATGTTCTTCACCTCCAGAGCAGATTAGATTTGCTGCGGAAGGGCATTTATTGTCACAGGTCTAAATGGAGTCAAAATAAGCAGACACAGACAAAATAAGTAGACACAGACAAAATAAGTAGACACAGACAAAATAAGCAGACACAGACAAAATAAGCAGACACAGACAAAATAAGCAGACACAGACAGAAAAAGTTGTATCGTGTAAAAGATAATGTTGGGCAGGCAGAAGAACAGGAAGCCAGGTGAATGATCTGAATGATGAAAACAGTCGGGAACAGGCTGAGAAGACAAACAAACCCTTCTACTGCAGTAATCATTCATGGGTGTGAGCCAAGGGATATGGGGAGAAGGCACGGAGGAGTGGAACCGGACTGTGACCCCACCCCATCCTCAAAGGAAACAGAGGGTTGGAAACCAAGGGCACATTCAAATGGTGACATACCAAGAGAAGCAGAAAAGAATACTACACTGTAAACCCGGACAAGTTCAGACTACTCAAGTCACATTAGGAAACCCATTCCACACAAACCGATTGAGTTATTGCCCTGAGGAAAAAAAATGAATTGATTGAGTAGAGTAAACTTAAAAAGTAAAACAAAACACAAATTACTATATGGAGTCATAGCCAGTTAATGTGTTTAAGTTTTCCAATTTAAGAATTCCAAGTTCAGTTAACTTGTTGGAGAATTACTAAAAGAAAACTGTTTTGTTTTAGTAGTGTCAATATTAGAAAACTCAAATGTTTGCTTAGTACTACTTTAAAGCTCATATATTTAATTAAAACTAACTTAAAATGTCAAGGCAAACACCGATATCAACAAGGACATGCTAATGACCAGAAAAGGCAGTTTTTTAAAGAACACATCCCAGAATTTGTTCAGGCACTTATGGTTCTCCAAGTGATGTGTGTAAGTCAGTCCAAACAGGACACACTTTTCCCAAAGGAAGACTGCAGAACAGAAGGATGCCAACTTCTTGCTCTGGACTTGAGTTTTCACCATTGATTATGATTTCTATGGGATGTGGGTCACCATCAGCAGCGTTCTGCAAAGGGGAAACAAGAAGAAACAGTGAGTAACCTGTTTGTGGAGAGTAACGCAAGCACTGGTCCTTCCAATTGTCAATCATTCATTTGTTCTCGTCAAATAAGACCAGAGTTTAGTAAAAAAAAATGAAGAGGGTGGTTCTTTCCTACACTGTAAATTCTTGTTTTGACTTTTAATTGTCTTAACACATAACATTGAGTCAAATTGGCAGTTTTTTTGCAAAAAGCTGTCACAAAGCGAAATTATGAATTGAAACAACTCTTCAACAGTAAACGTAAAAATAGAGTTTAAGATAACTATTTTATATTCATCGACTTGATTATGCTCCGCTGAACGTTTAATTGAGGACGTCATTACGTCTGCGTGACCCGGAAGGTGCCTCTTCGCGCGCTTTGTCCGCATGGTTGGCCGCAAGGTTTTTCTTCTGGGACTATTTGGCACCATTCTTACATCTTTCCTTGGTAAGTTAAGTTTTTATCTCTTGTGGAACAATATATGAGTTGGCCTTTTGTCGTGAACCTGTGATAATGATGGAGAAAGACCATGTTTGTTCGTGCTGTTTATGACAATGTAACGCAGCATACGTTTAGAGAATGGAGATATCACGGAATGTTTGTTTTGTCACATAATATTCGAGTACTGTCCGTTTGTCTATGTACATGACGTGAGTTTCTTGGCCGCTGATACACGCACGGTCTCCGGGTTTTGGGTGCAGCTGAGCTCCTGCGGTCACTCGGGAGTAGCAGCTCCCACTTACACTTTTCTCACAAGGCATGTACTTGTGGTGCACGGGCCTATTATCTGGATCATCAATCATGCTGTTTAGTCGCGTTGGAAGTTATAAATGTCAATGTCTCTTTATTTATTTATTTTTCCCGCAGGAGTACAGTTAAGTGTTCACGCTGTCCACGATCTGAGTCGAACACCAGACTGCACCGGGACTGGATCAGGTAACGACAAAAACGACTTTAATGCACCCTCTGTGTGTACTGTAATTCGTGTTTTGGCTTTTCAGAACAGCTTAAGCAGTAGAAGAGTTATTTCTTTCATATCCTTGTATTATTTATATTATTATTGAGCGGTTGGACAGTTATGTTGTGTAAATATGTTCCATTCCAATTATGCTGTTTATTTATGAAGCGTATTTCACAAACCTGGTCTGTGTTTTCATGATTTATGGGTTAATCCATAGTTACAGACGTAACAGTTATTTCTCTTCTCTTTTAGGTGCCTTCTCCGAACATATTTGCACTTCATGCGTTGGACGTGTAAGTTATGCACCTTCTTGTGTGGTAGTCGCAGAAGATTAATTGAACATTACAAAGATAATCACAGACATTATGGAAGATACTGCCCTCTGCCCTGCATTTATCTAGACTGTACACAGTACTTCAGATCCAGAAAATCATTTCAGAGTCATTTGAGAAATCACGGTGTCATTGAAGAGCCTTCCTCTGGACTTGTTGGATTTCAACTTAAGTGCTCACTGTGTGACTTCAACCAACCAGCTGGCTTAAAACAGTATGTGGCTCATCTTGGAAAGCACCTCAAAATAAAAGAGTCAATAACTTGTCCATTTGATCTCTGCAATTTCGTACCCAACACGAGAACAGATACATACTGTGGCTCAAGCCCTTGTGGTCAAGCATCCTTGCTTGAAAGATCCAGGCTCTGTGTTTGGTTGGTACAGCTGGAATTTCAGTTTGAAGTTTAAAGTGGCAAACCACCGCCAGAAGCTGCGCCAAGCTGGATGCCCTCAACTCAACTTGAACAAGCGACCTAGTGAAACGACAAATGCCAGAAAAATAAAAAAGGCTAAAAAGTCAGAGGTTAACTTCATGCCATGCTATCCAGAAGGAAAACAAGAGAATGACTTGGAAAGGGAAGTGTTAATCCGCGAGACAAAGAAGAAAAGCATTGACTGGAAGATAGTTGATGAATTGATGGAGAACACATATTCACTTCGGAGAAAAGAGATCGTCCAGGATGAACCCCTTGTCGCGGATGTCCAGAAAAGGTGGCCGGCCCTTTTCTTTGTGCGTCAGGTGAGTTGTTGAAAAGGGTAGAATACTTATCAAGGTAACTCACTTTAACCACTTTTGTGTCCCTCTCATTTTAGCTCGAATATGAGTTTGCTCGACTTACAGCTGTTAATCTCAGAGAAACACTCATCACTGGAATTGACAAATACCTGGACCGCTTCTTGGAGCTCTTCAGAGCAAAGCGTGCCATCCCGGGTCTGTCGAGTCTCCTCAGACAGCTTGAGGTAAAACAATGCATCCATGTCTGGCTATTTAAAAAAAATCACAATTTCTGCAATTGCATTCTTATGCTATACATATTTTTACGGTATTGGTGTCTTTGGTCTCTGTAGTTCTTTGAATCTTTAAGATTAGATGACCATTGTTCATCCCTGTCAGTGTTGTTGCACACCTATAAGGGGAGAAATACGAGCACACTAACAGACTTATTCATTTGGTAAAATTCAATCATAGATGTCACATCCTCCACCCAGCTACCAATTATTATTATTATTTTTTCTAATGATTACCTAATTCTAAAGCTCAATCTGTAGATTTATCCTATTTTATATGCAAGGCATATGCAATTAAAAACATAAAATGTCCAGTAACCATTGATCATAAACTAAAGTTCATAATGTCATTCTTTTATTGAAATGTTTTCGCAGCATGGAGTCAAATATTGAACATTTTTTTATGTACAGAAATATGCTGCTTCAAAGTTTGTATACGTTTATACAGATTCATAATGGTTTGTGAATGATCTATTGATTTTTAATATATTAATGATATGCACAATCCATCCATCCATCCATCCATTTTCTTCCGCTTTATCCGTTGCCGGGTCGCGGGGGCAGCAGTCTAAGCAGAGACGCCCAGACTTCCCTATCCACACACACTTCCTCCAGCTCGTCCGGGGGGACCCCAAGGCGTTCCCAGGCCAGCTGAGAGACATAGTCCCTCCAGCGTGTCCTAGGTCTTCCGCGGGGCCTCCTCCCGGTGGGACGTGCCCGGAACACCTCCCCAGGAAGGCCTCCAGGAGGCATCCGGAACAGATGCCCGAGCCACCTCAACTGGTTCCTCTCGACGTGGAGAAGCAGCGGCTCTACTCCGAGCTCCTCCCGTGTGACCGAGCTCCTCACCCATCTCTAAGGGAGCAGCCACTCTGCTGAGGAAGCTCATTTCGACCGCTTGTATCCGCGATCTCGTTCTTTCGGTCATTACCCACAGCTCATGACCATAGGTGAGGGAGGGAACGAAGATTGACCGGTAAATCGAGAGCTTTGACTTTCGGCTCAGCTCCCTCTTTACCACAACGGTCCGATACAGCTCTGACTGCAGACGCTGCTCCCTCTTTACCACAACGGTCTGATACAGCGACCGCATCACTGCGCACGCTGCACCGATCCGCCTGTCAATCTCACGCTCCATTCTTCCCTCACTCGTGAACAAGACCCCGAGATACTTGAACTCCTCCACTTGAGGAAGGACCTCTCCACCCACCTGTAGAGGGCAAGGACCTGGAGAGGGCAAGGCACCTTTTTCCGGTCGAGCACCATGGCCTCAGATTTGGAGGTGCTGATTCTCATCCCAGCCGCTTCACACTCGGCTGCAAACCGACCCAGTGCATGCTGCAGGTCCTGGTTCGTTGGAGCCAACAGGACAACATCGTCTGCAAACAGCAGAGATGAAATCCTGTGGTCTCCGAACCGGACCCCCTCCGACCCCTGGCTGCGCCTAGAAATTCTGTCCATGAATACAGTGAACAGAACCGGTGACAAAGGGCAGCCCTGGCGGAGGCCAACATTCACCGGGAACAGGTCTGACTTACTGCCGGCAATGCGAACACAGCTCTGGCTCCGGTCATACAGGGACCGGACGGCCCTCAGCAGAGGACCCCGGACCCCGTACTCCCGGAGGACCCCCCAAAGGACACCCCGGGGAACACGGTCGAACACCTTCTCCAAATCCACAAAGCACATGTGGACAGGTTGGGCGAACTCCCATGAACCCTCGAGTATCCGATGGAGAGTATAGAGCTGGTCCAGTGTTCCGCGACCGGGACGAAAACCACACTGCTCCTCCTGGATCCGAGATTCGACCATCAGACGTAGCCTCCTCTCCAGTACCTTGGAGTAGACCTTACCGGGGAGGCTGAGGAGTGTGATCCCACGATAATTGGAACACACCCTCCGGTCCCCCTTCTTGTAGAGAGGGACCACCACCCCGGTCTGCCACTCCATTGGCACCGCCCCCGATCGTCACGCAATGTTGCAGAGACGTGTCAGCCAAGACAGTCCTACAACATCCAGAGACTTTAGATAGTCAGGACGGATCTCATCCACTCCCGGCGCCTTGCCACCATGGAGGCTGCCAACCACCTTGGTGACCTCGGCCAGGGAGATGGAAGTATCCGCCCCAACATCCTCAGCCTCTGTAACAGAGGACGTGACGGGGGGATTGAGGAGAACCTCGAATTATTCCTTCCACCGTCCGACAATATCCCCAGTCGAGGTCAGCAGCTCTCCACCCGCACCATACACGGTGTTGGCAAAGCACTGCTTCCCCCTCCTGAGGCGCCGGACGGTTTGCCAGAACCTCTTCGAGGCCGACCGATAGTCATACTCCATGGACTCTCCGAACTCCTCCTAGTCCCGGGTTTTTGCCTCTGCAACAGCCCGGGCCGCGGTACACGTGGCCTGCCGGTACTGGACAGCTGCCTCCGGAGTCCCACGAACCATCATTGCTCGATAGGACTCCTTCTTCAGCCTGACGGCATCCCTTACTGCCGGTGTCCACCACCGGGTTCGGGGATTGCCGCCGGGACCAGCACCAGAGACCTTGCGACCACAGCTATGAGCCGCCGCATTGGCGATAGAGGAAGAGAACATGGTCCACTCGGACTCGATGTCCCCCTCCTCTGCCGGGACCTGGGAGAAGCTCTCCCGGAGGTGTGAGTTGAAAGTCCGTCTGACAGGGGGCTCAGCGAGACGTTCCCAGCAGACCCTCACTATACGCTTGGGTCTGCCAGGTCTGACCGGCTTCTTCCCCTGCCAGCGGATCCAACTCACGACCAGGTGATGATCGGTTGACAGCTCCGCCCCTCTCTTCACCCGAGTGTCCGAGACACGCGGTCGAAGGTCAGATGATACGACAACAAAGTCGATCATCGACCTCCGGCCTAGGGTGTCCTGGTGCCACGTGCACTGGTGGACACCCTTGTGCTCGAACATGGTGTTCGTGATGGACAAACCGTGACTGGCACAGAAGTCCAACAACTGAACACCGCTCGGGTTCAGATCAGGGGGGCCGCTCTTCCCGATCACCCCTCTCCAAGTGTCACTGGCGTTTCCCACATGGGCGTTGAAGTCCCCCAGGAGAATAACGGAGTCCCCGGGCGGTGCACCGTCCAGTACCCCTCCCAAGAACTCCAAGAAGGCCGAGTACTCTGCACTGCTGTTAGGCCCGTAGGCCGTCACAACAATGAGAGACTTGTCCCCCACCCGGAGGCGGAGGGACGCGACCCTCTCATTTCCCGGGGAGAACTCCAACACGTGGCGGCTGAGATGGGGGGCAATGAGAATGGCCACCCCAGCTCGCCGCCTCTCCCCACGGGAAACACCAGAAAAGTGGAGCGTCCAACCCCTCTCAAGGAGTTGGGTTCCAGAGCCCAAGCTGTGTGTGGAGGTGAGGCCGACTATCTCTAGTCGGTATCGCTCAACCTCCCCCACAAGCTCGGGCTCCTTCCCCCCCAGTGAGGTGACGTTCCACGTCCCAAGAGCCAGATGTTGTGTGTGTGGACTGGGTCGCCGAGGTCTCCGCCTTCGACTGCTACCCAGTCCTCGTTGCACCTCGCCACCACGGACCCCTCTGCAGGTGGTGGGCCCACAGGAGGGACTGCCCACGTCATCCCTTCGGGCTGAGCCCGGCCGGGCCCCGTGGGCTAAGGCCCGGCCACCAGGTGCTCGCTTGCGAGCCCCGACCCCAGGCCTGGCTCCAGGGTGGGGCCCCGGCTGCGCCATGCCGGGCGACGTCACTGTTCTAATATTAGTGCTGTTCATGGTTGGCTTCTGACTGCTCTTCGTCTGACTCGTCACCCGAGACCTGTCTGCCATGGGAGACCCTACCAGGGGCATGAAACCCCAGACAGCATAGCTCCCAGGATCATCCGAGTACTCAAACTCCCCCACCACGTTAAGGTAGCAGCCCAAGGGGGAGATATGCACAATCCATTGATGGAAAAATATTCTCTTAAAAATGGCATCTGTTTCGTAATAAAATGTTATCAAAAAATTATTGAGCATATATTTTCAAACTATCAAGTATTAAATAGATCATTAAATTGCACATTCCAGAAGCTGCTTTAGAAATTAACATAGTTAATTTACACTGACTGCTTTAGTCTGAGTTTACACGGAGACAATGTGGCAGTAAAACAGTATAGTTGGATGTCGGTTGCTACCAACCGTTCATACGAAGACTGTTCCAGGTGAAAACGTAAGTGTTCAGATCCAGCCTCAGAGTGGGACAGCTCAGAAACACTGCACAGCGGGGGCTCTTTCACACCCGCGAGAGGGAGAAAGGTGTGAAACCCCCCTCTGCTCTGACCCCCACCTCCTGCTGCTCTGACCCCCACCTCCTGCTGCTCTGACCCCCACCTCCTGCTGCTCTGACCCCCACCTCCTGCTGCTCTGACCCCCACCTCCTGCTGCTCTGACCCCCACCTCCTGCTGCTCTGACCCCCACCTCCTGCTGCTCTGACCCCCACCTCCTGCTGCTCCCACACGTACATTTGGACATGTGCAGTAGCGGAGAACAAACATAAACAACAATGGCGGCGGTCACACTAACTAGCTTCGTGGGCTTCCAGCACAGCACAAAGGATAATTCTACTCCTTCGTTCGTCCAAACGAGACCACGCGAAGCTCTAGGTTCAGTTTCCATTTTCACAGCTGCTGTTAAAATGCAGAATGATGTTGGTACTTTCTGAGGGTCTGGCACAGGAAGTGAGTACACTTCCGGGAGGGGGGCTGGGCACGGGGCTGGGGGTCGTGTGAGTGTTGTAAAGTTTCTCTGCCCCCTACTGGCCTGGCGCTAGAACTACATCGTTTTTCAACCTCATGTGAACGCAGAGAAATTTGCATTAGGAGCCCGGTCGTGTCTGTTAATAGCCTGGAAACGTCTGCGCAGCGTCTCAGTATAAACAGGGCCTTACAGAACAATTTGACTTTGGTTTGCATCCTGAAGAATACTCAGCCATCTTTACAGTTGAGGGGGAACCAGATTACATAATGCCTTTCAGTATCAGGGTTTATATAATTTGTTTTGTGTTTTCTCTTTGAGAACTCTGACAACTCCACACACTTCAAGAGGGCCATCCTGCTGCTTGGACTGCCACACTTCCTCAGGGATGACTGTTCTTCTTAAGTTAAAACTGTTGAGGTGAGGTTTCAACATTTCAAGTGCTGAGTACCCAGTGTTTTCTTTATTAGTGCAGGCCTAGCAATAGCCTGTAGAGGGCTGTACACATTAATTCTGTAGTTTTTTAGGTAACCAATTTACCTGCTCTGAATACACACTACTAAACAGGATTATTTTTTTTGTGTTACAGGCCACTGATGACGAGAAGAGTATGACCAAAGGGATAAAAGTGGGCCTGCTTATCCTTAAAGATGGTGAAGACATTATTGTAAGGTGTCAGTCGTGCTGGAGGAATCTGTCATCCTCAAAGATCTTTATGATATTCCCACAGCCATGGCAATGCTCATGGGGCTTCTTTACAGTTTAAACATGGACTATCCCAAGGAAATGAGGTATACCTTGGAACCTATTCAGAAAGTGCTTATGAACATTGGAGGTGGACATTGTTCTTCCCTGGTCCATGGTGTGCGGAACAGATTACTTCAAAAGAAAATGTGACTTCTAACCTTTAAATGTATGTGATCACCCATTTTGATTGTTTGAATGAATATGCTAATAGACATATTCATGCTAATAGACACATTCATGCTAATAGACATATTCATGCTAATAGACATATTCATGCTAATAGACATATTCATGCTAATAGACATATTCATGCTAATAGACATACAGTATTCATGCTAATAGACATATTCATGCTAATAGACATATTCATGCTAATAGACATATTCATGCTAATAGACATACAGTATTCATGCTAATAGACATATTCATGCTAATAGACATATTCATGCTAATAGACATATTCATGCTAATAGACATATTCATGCTAATAGACATATTCATGCTAATAGACATACAGTATTCATGCTAATAGACATATTCATGCTAATAGACATATTCATGCTAATAGACATATTCATGCTAATAGACATATTCATGCTAATAGACATATTCATGCTAATAGACATATTCATGCTAATAGACATATTCATGCTAATAGACATACAGTATTCATGCTAATAGACATATTCATGCTAATAGACATATTCATGCTAATAGACATATTCATGCTAATAGACATATTCATGCTAATAGACATATTCATGCTAATAGACATATTCATGCTAATAGACATATTCATGCTAATAGACATATTCATGCTAATAGTCATATTCATGCTAATAGACATATTCATGCTAATAGACATATTCATGCTAATAGACATATTCATGCTAATAGACATATTCATGCTAATAGACACATTCATGCTAATAGACATATTCATGCTAATAGACATATTCATGCTAATAGTCATATTCATGCTAATAGACATATTCATGCTAATAGACATATTCATGCTAATAGACACATTCATGCTAATAGACACATTCATGCTAATAGACATATTCATGCTAATAGACATATCGTGATAAGTACTTTTCATGCAGTACTTAAGTGAAATTCATAAGGGCAGAGCCACACTTTACCATAAAGCATGCTGTGATGATGAAGTTCCAAGTCAGAATTCATGTTGCCTGGACTTCACTTTTTTCTCTAAAAAACAGTAATGACTATTAACAATCATGTTAAATAAAACAATTCAAACAAATAAACCTTGTTTTTTTCTTACCTCAGCTTATTCATGTTTGATGCCAGTGTCCCGCGATCTTTTGCAGCTTCCTCTTTGAAAAATATTTGATGATAAATCTGATATAGAAAAAATAAATAAAAAGGAAACATGTACTGAATATTAGAGAGAAATATACTATTGCGTCCCACAATATTGATTCTAACTTCAAACAGGTTTCTTATGGCGAGCCAATCTTCAAACTTGAAAACTAGTCCCTCTAGATTGTCCTCAGTCGTGTCTCCTTGACCAAAGGTCCACTGGAGGTTCCTGCTGTTTGCTTCAGTGAGCCTATCACCACCAACCAAAACACTTGACAGTCCTTTAGGGCCTTTTGGACCATACCTATAAAACAACCCACCTAAATACAAGGCAATGCTTTTTTAATCACAGCTAAAATAATGAATAGATCACACTTACTCCTTCTGCAAGTAATGTAAAACGTCTGTCAAGTCACCGGTCTTGTTTTCATCTTTGAACAACAGTCCAAGAGGTACTAAAGGAAGACAAAACATAGATTAGATGTTTTTGTAATGCGTTAACACAAATATATATTTTTGTCAAGACTTGCATAAACAGAGGCCTCTGACATTTCTGCTGAATAATGATAAGGGATATGTTTTATCACAACAGATGAAAATGGCTTGAGTGCACTGAGATACTGGGTGAATATCCGGCTGCCAAGAATGATGAATTCAAGTCTCATGTGTGCTTGTACTGTATGTCTGGACCTGGAAGGGAGTTCCCAATATCATGTTCCATGACTGACGGGACAGGCTTGTCCCTGCTCAGGGGGAAGATGGGGACCCTGTCCTCAACAGCCACAGGAGGAATCCAGTGGAGTGATGGCTGCGAATGAAGAAGTCCAGATTGTCACCTATGATAGAGAATGAAGGTGGAGGAGATGATTGTGTGTTACAAGTAGTCTGCAATGATGAGACGCCCAGATCTTCCATTTCTTCTTCTGTTATTGAAAAAAATGATAAGTCAGTGCTGCTGTTCAGTGGCCCTTGTGGTGGTATCAGATGTGTCTTGTGTCACTGTCGTGTCACCTGATGAACCCTGGTTATCTGTTGGAAAAAACAAATAGCAAATTCAAAACTCAAGTTTAAACTGTTAATGAACCAACAGCATTTGAGTGTGTTGTTGTGATTCCTAGCTTTGACAGTCTTTTAAAAACTGCTTTTTAGCGCCACCATACAGTAATACATTATTTACATAATAAGCAAAGGCTGATAGGCGTCGTTCTCTTCCTCTGAATGCAACAGCAGCAGCTACACAGGTCGAAGGTTTAGACTGGTTTGTTATTGTGATTAAACACAATAAAAGCATGTATTTCCCACCTTTGCAATGTGTTTTGTGTTATAGATAAGTAATAAATCAGTGTGTCTGATTTAGAAAAATGATGACGTACTTGTAGGGGTCGCAGCTCCCGCCTCACTGTTTATGGCATTGCTCCTGCTGCTGCTTTGACACAAATAAACCTTAAAATGGGTGTATTTTGTACGGCCCCGGGATGCAGCAATGAAAGTAACAAAAAGAAGAGTGTAAACAGCAGTCCCTACGATCTTTGACTTATTCAGAGAAGGTCCAAACAAACTGAGAGAAGACACCAGCGCCAGGTCCAGGACATTAGTTCTATCAAGCTCCAACTAAAACCAATTTAACGACTTTCAACCCAGTATTCAGCAGAAAACACAACAACTGACACTGAACCATGTTTCACTCTAACTACGTTTAGTAAAAGATATGACACAGACCATCATGTTTTAGACTTTAGAACCACAGACACACGGTCAGTATAAGACTTTAGAACCACAGACACATGTTTATATAAGACTTTAGAACCACAGACACATGTTTATATAAGACTTTAGAACCACAGACACACGTTTATATAAGACTTTAGAACCACAGACACATGTTCAGAATAAGACTTTAGAACCACAGACACATGTTCAGAATAAGACTTTAGAACCACAGACACATGTTTATATAAGACTTTAGAACCACAGACACATGTTCAGAATAAGACTTTAGAACCACAGACACATGTTCAGTATAAGACTTTAGAACCACAGACACATGTTCAGAATAAGACTTTAGAACCACAGACACATGTTCAGAATAAGACTTTAGAACCACAGACACATGTTCAGTATAAGACTTTAGAACCACAGACACATGTTCAGTATAAGACTTTAGAACCACAGACACATGTTTATATAAGACTTTAGAACCACAGACACATGTTCAGTATAAGACTTTAGAACCACAGACACATGTTTATATAAGACTTTAGAACCACAGACACATGTTCAGTATAAGACTTTAGAACCACAGACACATGTTCAGAATAAGACTTTAGAACCACAGACACATGTTCAGAATAAGACTTTAGAACCACAGACACACGTTTAGTATAAGACTTTAGAACCACAGACACATGTTCAGTATAAGACTTTAGAACCACAGACACACGTTTAGTATAAGACTTTAGAACCACAGACACATGTTCAGAATAAGACTTTAGAACCACAGACACATGTTCAGAATAAGACTTTAGAACCACAGACACATGTTCAGTATAAGACTTTAGAACCACAGACACACGTTTAGTATAAGACTTTAGAACCACAGACACATGTTCAGAATAAGACTTTAGAACCACAGACACATGTTCAGAATAAGACTTTAGAACCACAGACACATGTTCAGAATAAGACTTTAGAACCACAGACACATGTTCAGAATAAGACTTTAGAACCACAGACACATGTTCAGTATAAGACTTTAGAACCACAGACACATGTTCAGTATAAGACTTTAGAACCACAGACACATGTTTATATAAGACTTTAGAACCACAGACACATGTTCAGTATAAGACTTTAGAACCACAGACACATGTTCAGTATAAGACTTTAGAACCACAGACACATGTTCAGAATAAGACTTTAGAACCACAGACACATGTTCAGAATAAGACTTTAGAACCACAGACACATGTTCAGTATAAGACTTTAGAACCACAGACACATGTTCAGTATAAGACTTTAGAACCACAGACACATGTTCAGTATAAGACTTTAGAACCACAGACACATGTTCAGAATAAGACTTTAGAACCACAGACACATGTTCAGAATAATAGCGTGTTAGCTGGTGTTAGCGTGTTAGCTGGTGTTAGGTGATGTTAGCTGGTGTTAGCGTGTTAGCTGGTGTTAGGTGATGTTAGCTGGTGTTAGCGTGTTAGCTGGTGTTAGCTTGTTAGCTGATGTTAGCGTGTTAGCTGGTGTTAGCTTGTTAGCTGATGTTAGCGTGTTAGCTGGTGTCCGTAAAAATAGCATAAATCTATCTTGTCAAACCACCT